TCTGTTAACTCATTTATCCTTACAGCAGCTCTATGAGGTAGGGACTATCCTTATGCCCATTTTGCAGACGAGGAACTGAGGCACAGACAGAGAGGTTAAGGAACAGGTAGGACGTGGTGGGGCCAGGATGTGAACCCATACTTCTAACCATGATGTTGTCATCTCTTGAGAGCCTACTTTGGGCTGGGCACCAATGACAGCAATGAAATGAACAGAGTCTCTCTGCTTTGGATTATTAGAGCTTTAAGAAAAAATAATCAAATGCAATGAATAGATCTTAGCAGATTCAGGTTTGGGTAAAGGATTCGTAAAAGCCATCTGAGGATCAATTGGGGAAATTTGAGTATGACCTGAGTATTTATTATATTCACAAGTTATTGTTCCTTTTTTTGGTGTGATAATGTTATTATGGGCACATTGGAATATGCTCATTTTAAAAGATGCATGTTAAAGCATTGAGGGGTGAGATGTCATTAGGTCTGTATTTTAAAACACTTCAATAAAAAGCCATGGAGAAGGAGCGGTATTTTTTTAACCCGCTGCTCTTGGGAGAAGACAAAGCTCACGGCGGGGTCGGCTCACGGAGGCGCTCTCTTCTGCCTGCTCTGCTCTGTGGCAGGCTAACTACCACCTCATGGGCCACCCACCACTATGTGAGGCAGGACTCACAGCAACAGTCTGGGAAGCAACCCTTACCTGCTCTTTTTCCTGCTTTCATCTCTCACCATATTATTCTTCATAATGTCCAAAGTCCTCAAAACTTTCATTTTGATCCAAGTTTGAAAATCATTTTCTGAATTTGATCCAAATTCACAAAATCGGAGCCTTCCCATCTTAGACACAGATTTGCACGTTGCCACGTTGTATTAGATCACAGTATTTTTTTTTATGTTTGACTGCTAAGGAATCCATTTTATGGAATTAGTATAGGGAATAGTTCTCAAGCAGTGGGTTGGGTTTATCTTCCCTGCTCCACAAACATACCAACTGTATCACGTTTGTAAGTAGGTCCTTTGGTCTAAACAGTGTAGGAATTGGCTTACCAGATACAACAAGAAAATCAAATACTCTCTTGCCCTATAAACCTATAAACTTTTTCTCCTTCTCTTCTTCCCCCTACTTCCTCCTTTGTTGTTTTTATTTCAAATCCTTTCCTTATCTGTTATGAGTACAGGTGTGCCTATAGTCCAAGGAGCCCCAGAGAGGGATTGAGCTGGTGCTGAGGTAGAACAAATGTATACACTGTGAAGAACAGTCATCACAATATGGCTTTTTCAAATGTAAAAGAAAATAATTTTTTTTACAGTATTACTGACTATATTCCCTATGCTGTACTTTTCATCTCTGTGACTTACCAACTTTTTAAAAATATATTTATTTATTTGAGAATGAGAGAGAGAAAGCACGAGCAGGGAGCAGGGAGGGAAATGGACAAGCAGACTCACTGCTGAGCAGGAAGCCCAATGCAGGTCTCAATCCCATGACCTGAGCTAAATGCAAATGCTTAACAAACCCAGGCAGCCGGACTTACTTACTTTTTATAACTGCAAGTTTGTATCACTTAGTCTCCTCTATTTCACCCATCCCCCATCCACCTCCCCTGTGGCAACCACAGTCTGGTATTTCTTCAGTTGTTTGGTTTTTTAGATTCTACATGTAAATGAAATCATATAATATCTGCCTTTCTCTGACTTATTTCACTTGGCGTAACACCCTCGAGGCCCATCCATGCTGTCATAAATGGCAAGATCTCATTCTTGTTTAGGGATGAGTAATATTCCACCGTGTGTGTGTGTGTGTGTGTGTGTATCCATTCTTTATCCATTCATCGATGGACACTGGGGCTGCTTCCATGTCTTGGCTATTGTAAATAATGCTGCAATAAACATAGGGATGCATGTATCTTTTTGAATGAGTGTTGTCATTTTCTTTAGGTAAATACCCAATAGTGGAATTACTAGATCATATGGTATTTCTATTTTTAATTTTTTGAGGAACCTCCATACAGCTTTCCGCAGTGGTTATACCAATTTACATTCTCACAAAACATTACATGAGGGCTCTCTTTCTTCCACATCCTCGCCAACACTTGTTGTTTCTTCTCTTTGTGATTCTAGCCATTCTGATAGATGCGAGGTGATATTGTGGTTTTGATTTGCATTTCCCTAATGATGAGTGATGTTGATCATTTTTGTGTGTGTCTGTTGGTCATCTGTATGTCTTCTTTGGTAAAATGTCTAATCAGGCGCTCTGCCCATTTTTTAATGTTTTTATGGAATGCCCATTTTTTTAGTGTTTAATTGTATAATTAAGTACTTAATACTAATAAGTATAATTATTAGTATAATGTATAAATAAATGTATAAATAAATACTTAAATAACCCCTTACCATTTGCAAATATCTTTTCCCATTCAGTAGGTTGCCTTGGTGTTTTGTTGATGGTTTCTTTGGCTGTGCAAAAGCTTTTTATTCTGGTGTAATCCAAATAGCTTATTTTTGCTTCTGTTTCCCTTGCTTAAGGAGACATATCTAGGAAAATGTTGCTAAGGCCAATGTCAAAGAGATTACTGCCTGGTTTCTTCTAGGAGTTATATGGTTTCAGGTCTCACATTTAGGCCACTAATCCATTTTGAGTTTATTTTTGTGTATGGTGTGAGAAAATGGTCCAGTTTCATTTGTGTGCATGTAGCTGTCCAAAGAATTCTTTTTTTAAAAAAAAAAGATTTTATTTATTTGACAGAGAGAGACACAGCGAGAGAGGGAACACAAGCAGGGGGAGTGGCAGAGGGAGAAGCAGGCTTCCCGCCGAGCAGGGAGTCCAACGCGGGGCTCGATCCCAGGACCCCAGGACCATGACCTGAGCCGAAGGCAGACGCCCAACAACAGAGCCACCCAGGTGCCCCCAAAGAATTCTTAATTATGACTTTTAATTACAATTGAGCAATTCCTAATGGTTTGTCATGTAAGTTTTTGGTGTGAAATGGAATTCCAAAAATAGTTATCTACTTTGGAGAAAGAGAGCTGCAAGAAGCGACTGGGGTTTACCTAGCTGAACAGGTTGGCAGTGGGCAATTAAAGGTGGTGATATCCCAGTTGGATGTCACTGCGACTTCATAATACAAGCTCTGAAGTTGGTGGAGCAGGCTTGCAGGAACAGCTGCCAGAACAGCACTGTCTGTCAGTGAGTTTACAGAGCAAAATCAGGGCTATCGTGTGTGTCCGCGGTTATGCATTTTTAAGCAGATGTCACTGATATTAGAAATAAAACAACGATAGGGATCTAGGCCCTGAGGGAAAGCCAGGGCAGGAAACAGTCTGTGCCCCTTTTAAATGGAGCTCACCCATGCTCAGAGTATTTAAAAGAATTCTGGGGTTGTATTCAGCACATAAGATTTCTTATCGTTGTGATCGTTTGCCAGGATTCAAAACTCTTTCGGGAAGGTAAATTTCTGGGCCACAGTTTTATTTTTTTCTGAAATAATAATAGCAGCTATACATTCTAAAGAGTCCTAATTTCAGATATTTTGTTTCCTTGTTCCCACAAACCAGAGAGCTCTAACCTTCTACTTGTGGACCAGCAGTGACCCTCCTGAGATTCTGGAGGAAAAAAAAATTTCACGGATGCAGAGACTTAATAGGAAGGGTGGGGAGACATTTAAGCTCCCTTTCTCACGGTGTAAGAGAACGTGAGTTCTGAGAATGGGGACCTGGCGTCATTCGTCCCCATGTGCCTCTGACAGTGCTTTTGGCACATAGTAAATACTCCACAGATGTGGCCGGACAGACTCCGTGTAGGACGGACAGTGTAGAAGTAGGAGCGGGCTGCTAGGGGAAGGTCGTGGAGCCAGGACTGACTGGACATGGGGGTGGGCCCTGTGGTCTCGTATCTTCATTCAACAAACATTTATCGAGAGTCCCCTGGGAATATACAGCAGTGAACAGACTGACATGGCTCCTGCCCTCATTCAATTTATATTCTACTGGGAAAACAGACATTTAAAAAAATCTAGTTACAGATTTTGTCAAGTGTGATGGAGGAAAAATACGGGTGGCACCGTTACCCATTAATGAGGGTACAGTGTGACGGCTGCATAAATCAGTGAATATACAAAAAGCCACTGAATGTCCACTTAAAAAGGGTGAATTTTATGGTATATTAATTATACCTCAACAAAGCTATTATCTAAAAAGGGCCACCTCAGTGGTTATCCCTGTATTTCTGGGTACATAATCCTGCCTCTGACACTTACTAGCTGTGTCCTCTTGGGCAATTTCTTTAACATTTCTGAATCTTGGCTTCTTCATCAGTGAAATGAAGACAACAAGAGCACGTCACTCTAGGATCGTTCTGAAGGTGAATCAAGTTAGCGCTCCTCAAGCCCTGATGGGAGGTGAGCTGTTCCCACTTTTGGGGAATCAGGAACAGGAATCCGATTGCCAAGAGCACCCAGCAGGCGAAATCAGTAACCTCTTGAGCTCTAGCCCTTGCCACCTGGAAACTTTCCTTGGAGGGCTCTGTTCAAAAATTCTAGCTGTGCATGTGGAAGCATTGCAGTCACTGGTTTATCTGAGGTGTGATTATTGCTAATTTAAAAACGTGAATGCACTGTGGTTTGGTATATTTTGCTTTCTGAAGAAAGCTCTTGTGTGGTAGAAACTGACCGTGCCATGAACATATCTGAAACAACAGTGGCATGTTCCCTCATTTAGAACACAAAGTAAATTTCCTGCCTTTACTCTAAAAAAGTTTTTTTTTTCTAACAGCTTTATTGAGACATAATTCATATCCCTTAAATTTACCCTTTTAAAGTGTACAGTTCAAAGGTATTCAGGAGATCCACAGAATTGTGCAACCATTGCCACTATCAAATTCCAGAACATTTCACCATCCCGAAAAGACACCTGATAAGCATCAGAGGTCCCTCCCCAGTCTCCCCTCCGCCCAGCCTCCCCAACCACTCATCCCCTTTCTGTCTTTATGGATGTCTCTATTCCTACCTTTATTCTCGGACAGGCATGTGGAAATGTACCGTGCTGTCTTTGGGTTTGCCAAAGTCTACCCTCAGATTCTAGAGGGAAAATAAATGATTTCTGATCAATTACAGCTGGAAGCAACCTAAGTTTAAAAAAAGAAAAAAAATTTTAAATTGAATTTATCTTCACAGATTGTAATTTTAAAACAATGCTTCCTAGTTCAGTTAGATTTTACAGGAACTATTCCATTGGTAATTACAATAAACCAACTTTAGCCTTTTTACCACTATTAATCTGCACTTGTTTTATTAAGCATAAGAACTTCTGAGTCTGATAATGACCACTATAGCACGAATAAAAAGCTTTACGTTTGGCTGAGGTTATATGACCCACAACTGACAGAATTACTACACTATAAACATTTCTTGGTAGAGAAAAATACAGCATATTTTATTTTGTAAAGCCAAATCACAGAATAGCCGATGTTAAATAAATTCAAAATGCTGGTCTCTAAGCAGTTAGCACTTATGTTCCTTAAACTTCTATTTTATAGAGCTGCAAAGACTAAGGATCAAAGGCCGGTTAAAAGTCTTCCTTATTAAGCAGAGGGCAGCTCCATGGGAGAGCAGTGTAAAAACAAAATAAAATTGTAAGAACGACTGTGTGTGTAATGTATGTCTTAAAACTTCTCATTGGAAAGCAGATCCCTGTTCTTTAAAATGGTCAACGTAATTAAGATCATTTAAACTCAACCACAATGACTCAATCTCTTGACTCTACTGTGATGCCCACATCTGTGAAATTATCGTTAAAAAGCAGTTTGTGGGCTCCTGGTTTCATTTCAACATGTAAAGAGCTTGGAAGGTATTGTGAGGATGAGGGTGATAAGAAAAAGCTGAAGAAATGGAAAAGCAATTCTTCTTAGATCTATCAGAGAATTGAAGTCACAGGAAAACTACTGCCCTGAAAACTGGAGAGACACAGAGACAGACAGACCTGGATAAAGCTTCAGAGAGGGAGTCTACTGCTGGAGCTGGTATTGGCAAGAACAGTTAAACTCCACTCAACAAATTGCCAGAGGCTCAGTGTGCCTTAGCTTGAGTGTTATAAATTCTGAGGGGTCAAGGCTTGGTGGGGGGTGGGGGGTAGGAGGGGGCATACTTTCCTGAGTTTTACCTCTAGAAGCCCCACCATGTTCTTGCTGTGAGGCCTGAAGAAAATCCCTTGCTGCCTCTAGCAGTGGGGAGGGAACAGAAACCATTTCAGACTAATCCCAGAGGGTTCTGTTCTTCGTTCTGTTCTCTGTATTAAAGGCCAGCTCTCAAGGAAAATTATTATCTGACCTGAGGAAGGGCAATTAGCTAACTCCAACCCCGTCCAGGCTTCCTGCCTCACCTAAGAGGGGGAATAGCCAAGACAAACTTGTGAAGGTAACAGTCTGGGGGCACAGAGCCATGGGAAGATGGGGGGCCTGATCAAGGAGCACTGAATGTTTCCCCCAGCACACTACATCTGCAGGCTTCAGTATAACAGAGGATCGCAGATGAGAGGACTTCAAGGCTCAGACCTACTTAGGAAGAAGTTTCTAGGGAAACCCAAAGACCACAGGGGACACAAAGGCAAAGACAGCTGAGGAAATTGAAGCCTCAGACACCTACAGTAAACACAACCCAACTCCTAGCCAGATAAAGGCCTACTTACCTCATTTCCTATGACCCAATACATCATGTCCAGCTTTCAAAAAAAAGACAAAGCTATAAGGCAAGAAAAAAGTCTGAAGAGACAAAGCAAGCATCAGAATCAGATACGAGGACAGGAGGTTTTGGAATTATCAGACCAGGAATTTAAAATCAGTGTGATTAATTAAGCTACGACTCTAGTGGAAAAAAGTAGCCCCATCATGCAAGAGCAGATATGTAATAATGTAAGTAGAGATATTGAAACTCAAAGAATATAAAGGAAATGTTAGAAATCAAAAACACCATAAGAAATGAAGAATGCTTTTGATGGGCTTATTAATGAACTGGACACAGCCAAGGAAAGAATCCATGAGCTTGAAGAAACATCAATAGAACCTCCCAAACTGAAATGCAAAGAGAAAGAGGAATGAACAAAACAGTGTCCGGGAACTGTGGGACAATTATAAAAGGTATAACATACACATAATGAGAATATCAGAAAAAGAAAAAGGAACAGAAGACATACTTGAGTAATGATGAGAATTTTCCAATGACAGATATTAAACCACAGATGCAGGGAGCTCAGAGAATACCAAGCTGGGATAAATTCTAAAAAACCATACCTAGGCATATCCTATTCAAACTATGAAAAACTAAAAACAAACAGGAAATCTTAAAAGAAGGCAAAGAAAAACCCAACTTACCTATGGAAGAGAGATATAAATTGTATCAGACATCTCTTCATAAACCATACAGGCAAGAAGAGAGAAGAGTGAACTATTTGAATTATGGAAAGAACCCACCAACCTGGAATTCTGTGTCCAGTGAGATTATGCTTCAAAGGCAAAGGGGAAATAAAGACCTCTTCAGATAAACAAACACTAAGGGAATTTGTCACCAGAGACCTCTCTTGTAAGAAATGTCACAAGAAGCTCTACAGAGAGAAGGAACAATATAGACCAATAAAGGGATACACAAAGCAAAAAGAAAATCCAGGGGCCTCACCATTATGTCCTTCCTTGGGTCCCAGGGCCCCTAACTGGCCTGCCTTCTTTCTAAGTCTTCCTAAGTTTGTTTTGTATATAATATCCAGGCTTTACAGCTGTATTTATCAGAAGGAATAGGGGCAAGTATGTCTACACCATCTTCCTTTCACTTCTGCGCATTATGTATCTAGAAGTAAGTTTGAACTGAGGGATGCCTGGGTGGCTCAGTCAGTTGGGTGTTTGCCTTCAGCTTGGGTCATGATCCCGGAGTCCTGGGATCGAATCTCACATCCAGCTCCCTGCTCAGCGGGGAGCCTGCTTCTCCCTCTGCCTGCCGCTCCTCCTGCTTGTGCGCTCTCTCTCTCTGGCAAATAAATAAATAAAGTCTTAAAAAAAAAGTGAGTTTGAACTGAGATACAATTTTGCATCCTGCTTTCTCCCCCTCAATATATACTGTGAGGATTTTTCCATGTCATTAAAATTTCTCAGACAGTATTAATTTTAAACTTTTTAAAAAGATTTTATTTATTTATTAGAGAGAGCACACAAGCAGGGGAGGAGGGTAGAGGAGGAGCAGAGGGAGAGGGAAAAGCAGACTCCCCACTGAACAGGAAGCCTGAGGCAGGGCTCGATCCCAGGACCCCGGGATCATGACCTGAACCAAAGGCAGACACTGAACCGACTGAGCCACCCAGGCACCCCTCGGACAGTATCAGTTTTAATAGCTAGCTATGCAATGCACACATAGATGTGCTATAGACTGAATCATGCTTTAACTGTTAACATTGAAGGTATTTCCACATTTATTGCTATAAAATAGAACAATGAAGTGAACAAACTTATACAGAGATCCACGTGTCTCTCTTATTTCCTAGAAGTTCCTAGAAGTACAACAGCTAAATTAAAAAATGACAATTGTACAAAGCTTCTCACACCTGTTGAAAAATTGCCTTTAAGGACTTTGGTCCAACTTATTCCTTCAGTGGTAGAATCAAAGTATTCCCCTCCTACTGCCACCTCATCAGCCCTGAGTATGAGGATGGTTTAAATGATCTGTTGTGCTAATTTGTAAAGAAAATATAATATATTGTTTACACTGCATTTCTCTGGCTTCCCCATGAGATTAAACATTTTTCACATATTTACTGCTTATCTGCATTTCTTTCTCTGTGAGTAGTCTGTTGATGTCCTTCTATGTCAAGTTTTTGTTTTTTGTTTTGTATTGGCAGGAGCTCTTTTTTAAAAGACTATTAGCAATTTTTGTGTCCTATCTGTTGCAGATGTTTTCCCAGTTTGTTTTTCATTTTATACTGCTTTCTTAAAAAATTTATTTTTGGTTTAAAAAAATTTCAAACCCACAGAGAAATGGAAAGAACAGTTAACCTCCACAAACCCTTCACACAGACCACCAGGCGTTCCCATCTTGTTCCCTGTGCTTCACCTCTCCCTGTGACTAGGATATAGTCATAGTCTACACAAGTGGGATTCATGTACCGCCATGTAACAGCCCACAATGGTTGGGCTCTGGGATGCTTCTTCAACTGAGGAAAATGTACCTTCTGATGGACACTCACCATGCAATACAAACCTCTTCTTTCCCTCTCACTGATGCTCACTATTATCTATTTGCTTTGTTCTTTCTCCCCCTTCTCAAACACTGGCACAACAGAATATAAAATGAAGATTTCCATGCAGTTCTGATCGTGTGGGTACAGATGGTCGTCACCCTCCCAGTGTCAGTAACAAAGCATGGTCGTTAAGAGCAGTGTGAGCACATATTATGAGCAATAAAATCCTTGAAAGCCAATCATGTGAGAGGAAGAAAGACACTTTGACATAGAAGAATCACTGCCAAAGTGGGATAGTAATGGAACATATTTTGAAAACAATACAAAAGCTCTTTGAGCTCTTTGGAGAAAATAGACCACTCTTGATAATGTCCTCATTGTTGTTTTCTGCATGACGGCGGGGGACATCTTGCATTTGCTGGCATCAGTTGTTATCACTTTGTGTCCCTCCTGGTTTTTGTTTCTACTGGACAAAATGACCAGATTTTCCCTTCTTGCTGAAAAGAAAACCATCTTTTGTGAAAATTAGACTTCTTGGTTTTCAGGTGGCCATGGTGCTGGAGAGCGCTCGATCACACACAGGTGACTGGACTTGAGTCTGGGTCTCACCACCAACACCAGTGCGACCCGGGCCTGCTGTGACCCTCAGGATGCACATCTTTAAAAGGAAAGGTTAAATATTTGCCTCATAGGGTAAAATAAAGTCCTTTGCAAACTGTCAAGTGTTATGAAGCTGTTGGTGACAATGATGAAATTCACAATAATGATGAAAATGAAGATGATGATTGTATCTGGCCTGTTCTAAATCATTTTTTAAGGTATATCCAGGGATAGTATTGGAATTCACTTGGCATGAACTCTCCTGATTTCCTGGGTTGCCATAGTTGGAATGAAGCCCCGTATCTCTGAACAATGTTGATTCTCAGTCTACCGTAGCAACTGTGCTTGCTGTCAAGGGAATAATGGGGATCCACCGTCCTTATTATATAGCACCCCTCTCAGAGCTGCTTCTCTGGACTCCTGGCCTCTGACACTCCAGCACACTCATGGTATAAGCAGACGGTGGCAGTGGCCTGACTGCCAGGTCCCACTTGTGGCTCATTCCTAGTGCAAGAGGCTTACTCCAACCCTTCATAGCAATGGGGGAGCTGAATTTCCAGGACCAGGCTCTTGATCATACAGAGGCAGACCCTCTATGTGGCCAAAAGAATACTGATTCCAGGGAGTTATGCTTGTCCCGGGGATTCTAAGCACAAATTATCTGCATTAGGAATAACCAAGACTCTTTTTTTTTTTTTTAAAAGATTTTATTTATTTATCAGAGAGCGAGAGACAGAGGCAGGCAGAGGGAGAAGCAGGCTTCTTGCTCAGCAAGGAGCCCGATGCGGGACTCGATCCCAGGACCCTGGGATCATGACCTGAGCCGAAGGCAGATGCTTAACCGACTGAGCCACCCAGGCGTCCCTAACCAAGACTCTTTGTTAAAATGCCAATTCCAGACCATCCGGGGGCTGGCAAAGGAGGATTGCAAACCAAAGTTTAAGAACCGTCGTTCTAGACCTGTGGTCTCTCAAACAGGATGCCCACATCTCAGGCGATCCGTAAAAGAATGCCATTGGTGGGTGAGGAGAGTATAAGAACTTCTATTTACACCAAATAAGAAATATGTAAAAGAAGAAATAAAAATAAGAAGTTACTTTGTGCTACTATTTAATATTCAGCTTGTCCCTGGATCCCTCCTGTGGTCATGTTCCCTGCGGTTCTGGAGGCCTCCTGGGAGTGGAGATTCCAAACCACAAGGGCATGAACAGTAAGGTCTGTGTGATGTTTTTTGACAGCGTTAGAATGTTCTGGAGTTTACTCGTAGAGTGAGTTCATGGATTCTATTCATTAATTTTCACTCAAGCCTGAGAAAATGGACAGGTGTCTTAAAAAGATTCCTGCAAAAAAACAGACTGTATTTTGAAGCCAGTGAAAATGGGCATCAGTGAAAAATAAAATGCCGGAATGGACACCTACTCATAGCCTGAGCTTTTCTTCAGCCACGCTAGAGAGCAAAAATGATGATAAACCAATCAAACTCATGAAGAGTCCACGAAATCTCCACCCCCAACCACCAACTTAAAAATTATCCAGAAGACTAACTGAACTATGGATTCCCATTCAACCAGCATCCATGCTGAATCTCCATGAAGCATAGAGTGTGTTTCGGGTTATTAGCTACAGCCAGTATAAAGCCATTGTGATTAATAAGAGAAAGCAACCAGAACATTATAATTAATAACCTTTTTTAGCAAAAGACAGTTTCGTGCTGTTAATAAAGTAAAATATTTTAAACTATTTAATCTTCTTTGTCTCATTATTTAAATGTTTCTTTGTCCGTGTATTGTATAATGTGTTCACTCCCTAGGATAAGTATACAATTATAAATAAATACATGTTGGGCGCCTGGGTGGCTCAGTTGGTTAAGCGACTGCCTTCGGCTCAGGTCATGATCCTGGAGTCCCTGGATCGAGTCCCGCATCGGGCTCCCTGCTCGGCAGGGAGTCTGCTTCTCCCTCTGACCCTCCCCCCTCTCATGCTCTCTGTCTCTCATTCTCTCTCTCGCAAATAAATAAAATCTTAAAAAAAAAAATAATAATAATAATAAATAAATAAATAAATACATGTTATGGATGCATGCCCCAATTTTTAAAAAAATTTTTTATTATGTTAATCACCATACATTACATCATTAGTTTTAGATGTAGTGTTCCATGATTCATTGTGCATAACACCCAGTGCTCCATGCAGAACGTGCCCTCTTTAATACCCATCACCAGGCTAACCCATCCTTCCAGCTCCCTCCCCTCTAGAACCCTCAGTTTGTTTTTCAGAGTCCATCGTCTCCCATGGTTCGTCTCCCCCTCTGATTTCCCCCCCTTCATTCTTCCCCTCCTGCTATCTTCTTCTTCTTTTTTTTCTTAACATATATTGCATTATTTGTTTCAGAGGTACAGATCTGAGATTCAACAGTCTTGCACAATTCACAGCGCTTACCAGAGCACATACCCTCCCCAGTGTCTATCACCCAGTCACCCCATCCCTCCCACCCCACCCCCCACTCCAGCAACCCTCAGTTTGTTTCCTGAGATTAAGAATGCCTCATATCAGTGAGGTCATATGATACATGTCTTTCTCTGATTGACTTATTTCGCTCAGCATAAAACCCTCCAGTTCCATCCACGTCGTTGCAAATGGCAAGATCTCATTCCTTTTGATGGCTGCATAATATTCCATTGTGTGTGTATACACACATTTTCTTTATCCATTCATCTGTTGATGGACATCTTCATGCCCCAATTTTTAAACTAACAGCCATGTGGCATAAAAGGCCAGGTCCAGCTTATTCCAACTCAAGACTTTGATAATCTAAGTCTCCTCCTCTGGCCCCCTGAGCAATGTTGAGATAAGCAACCTGTCCCTCAGTGAGTCCTGCCATCAATAATGAAAACCACCTTCTTACTTGGGTATTAGAAGGACTTTTGTCATGGAACCTCAGAAGAAAAATGCAATGGATTGGCCAGTCACACTACCCCCAAGCATAAGAACCTGCAGGAATTCTGGGTTGTGCAAACAGCTTTGCATAGAAAACTCCCAACAGAACGTAGACTCTGAGGCCAAATCTATTCATGACAGTCTCTTGGGAACCCCTGCAAGTGCAGAGTCCGGTGTGACTATCAACCCGGAAATACACCGGTCACAGACAACAGTCCCTGATCTCCTGACTCTCCTGTTTTCCATTTCCATCTCCTGCTGCTGCTTAGCTTCCTCCCTGAGCCACTTCCTGCGACTCCCAGGACCTGCCTGCTTACTTTAAAGTCGCTTAGCCAGGTAAACTTACTAGGCAGGACCCATTTGGACTTTTCTCCAGTTTTTGACCTGGCTCCTATCATTTCATTTTCAAGTTGCATGTGCTACTTTAGCAGCATCCATTCACAGCCATGATGGAGATACTCCCCCAGGCTTGCAAGGCTCTACAAACTTGCCAGGCTCCTACCTTCCTGCTGGGAGGCCAGTGATCTTAATATTGTCTTGAATAGGAGAGAAAGGATCCAAGAACTACTTCTGGTAGCCAGCTCCATGCCCCAGTGAATAGTGAAGTCTTCCTTCACTCTTCCAGAGCCTAATAAGGGGCAAGGACACTCCTTGGCAAGGGAGAAGAACTGTAGAAGAAAGGTCTTTGCCTGAACCTTTCTGCTTGGTTCTCTGAGGCTATAATTGCCTCATAGTTTGTTCTTTTCAGCTATCATAACTTACAAATATTTCCTTTAGGAGTTGAATTTTGGATACCTTTTACTAAAAAAAAATAGTAACACCAAAACTAGGACTCTGAAGTAATTGTCATGGTGTCAAGTATTAGAAGGCAAGAAGAGTAACCTGGGATAAACTTCATTAAAGTTCAAATGCTGCCACTAACTTCTTATACAAAACTACTAAAATTCGTAGCATGGATATGAACAAAGCCAAGAAGATTTTATCTTTATGGTCATCTGACCTGAGTGGGAAAAGTTATTTTTTTATTGTACTTATTTTGGACCCCAAAATGGCTCTTTTACTTACCACTTGGAAGCATGAGAAGAATATAAATTATCGTCATCAATAGGAGTCGTTAACACATGATGGTTTACAACATTTAAATACTTCTCAATGTGAATCTGTTACAGAAAAGTTAAAGTTTAGGCCATTATAGTGGACTTAAGATACTCAGCTAATTTACTTTATTTCATTAGGATAACGCTTTGAATTGTGTAATTAAGCCAAAAGACACAACATGCTATGCGTTTATTGCATGCCTAAACTATCATTGGGCATCTCGAGGCTAAATGACTTTAACTATCCCAAAAAGCATAAACAATTGAGGCTCAGATCTTGAATGACCTGTAGCACTCTTCACAAATTAAACTATGCACAATAGTCAGTAAATCGCTTAGCCAGGTAAGCTTACTAGGCAGGATGGATATGGAGTAATGTCTTTCCTTTATAGGGATTTCAAGCATCCGGGGCAAGAATGTGGCCTTTAGGTAACAGATTATTTAAAATGGCCAACCCAAAGACTCCAGCTGGGTGCAGCCCTCTCACTGTCAGGTAATCTAGGACAATGGTGGGCCAGTTTGACGAGGCAACAAAACACGCGCCATCTCTCACAGTCTGAGGAGCTGGGCTGTGAAGCTGACAATGTGGGAGAGTGAAAGTCTGAGGCCAGAGCAGGGACAGTGACAGTTCGAGGTCTCGAAGATGGAGATGGTCCTTATTTGGACCCATGTGCTAATAGATCCTTGTATTTGAGAGAGAAAGAGCAGGGGGGAGGGGTAGAGAGAGAGGGAGAGAGAGAATCTCAAGCAGACTCCCCGCTGAGCACGGAGCCTGACATGGGGCTCGATCCCACGACCCTGAGATCAGGACCTGAGCTGAAATCAAGAGTCAGATGCTTAACCATCTGAGCCACCCAGGCGCCCCTAGATCCTTGTTTTATAAATAAATATTATCCTGGTCTAAAAATTATCTGCTCTTCAACCCATCTATAATGATGAAGTCCCTGTGTACTTTATTTCTCTCTTCCAAAATTGGTACATCTCTTTAGCTCTACCTACTGGATCACAATATCACAAAAATTACTAATCTAAAAATACTTAAGCTATTTAGGGAAAAATAAACTCTTATTCTTCAGCACCCCAGTGAATCTGATAGAAACTCTCTGCAGTGTATTGCTTTGAATCATTTTTTTGTCAGGCATATTTTTGGACTAATGGTTATTTTAAAAATTCTTAATTCTTTTTATCAAGCCATACATTAGGGGTTGTCACTGCATAATCTTACATTCCCAACACCTTAAATTCTTTGTGGAATGTGACAGGATGCCAACCAATCAGTTAATAATCACGATTTTAATAAAAGGAACAGAATGAGAAAGCTGCTGACCAACCTAAGTCCATCTTTGTTATAGAATTACACAGGTCCTGTGAAAACCATAGTCCTTTTCTTCTAGAGGAATCTTTGTCTCCTTCCAGCACTTTATTTAATATCTAAAGCTCTACTTACTCTTAACCCCATTTCAGTCCTTTTGATTGCAGTTTCAAGATTCTGAATGTTTAGAGCCTCTCCTTTTTCCTCAAGTGGGAAATTTGTTAATTTCTCCTTTAACTGATAAAGGTCTTCATGGACCTGTAGGTATAAAAAATATAAAATATTGAAAGAATACATACAGAGTTCACCTGAAACATTTATTTTAAAGATATGCAATTTGCTTGAATTGCTAGAGACAATCAAATAGATTTTATGATATTCACTGAAAAGGACTGTCTTCATGGTTTTAAGATATTCTTTATTAGAATGTTGCATTATTGTCTTTCAGATTTTAAAAAACTAAGCTTTCATACAATTTTGTATTTTTCCTTCCCCTCATTAGAAACAAGTCCAAGATAAAACTACAACTCAAATTGCTTCTGCTTCTCAGCTAGTAAAAAGTATGAGCTGATATGAAGTTTGCACCAAACTCGGATTTCTACTCACTGGTTAAGAGGTAAGAAATCAGAAAATGAGAGGTTTTAGTGAAAGCAGAGCCTTTCAGGGGTGCCTCAGTGGCTCCGTCGGTTACGTGTCCAAATCGTGGTTTCAGCTCAGGTCGTGATCTCAGGGTCGTGAGATCGAGCCCCATGTTGGGCTCCATGCTTAGCATGGAGTCTGCTGAAATTTCTCTCTCTTCCCCTCTCTCTGCCCTGCCCTGTTCTCTCTCTCTCTCTCTCTCAGCAAGCAAGCAAGCAAGCAAGCAGAGCCTTTCAAAAGGGAATTGTAAATAGGTTGACAGAGCCCCTTGGTTTTCCATTCTGGCTGGATCTTCCCCACGTACTACTCTGAAGAAGCAGTTCTGTAGGCGTGTGGCCTTGATTCTGTTTCACATAGTCAGAAATGAAAATGGACGGTGAAGGAATAGCAACATACGTCATCACTTCAACATTTTCCTTCAATCTGTATTTTCCTTGGGAATGATGAACGCCTCTCCAATGTCCACCACCCTCAATAAATTGGGTGCTATGAGATTAGACACCACAAGATTCTTTGTATTCATATCAGAAACCAAACTTCAATAGATAAATACAGATGGCACCAATTATTGTATGGGTTGCTGCCACAAGGAAAACATTTTGTTATGCAAATTTATGAACCTAACACCTGTTTCAGCAATAGTCACACCAATAACAATCTGCAGACTGGGTTGCTAAAGGCATTTTGAAACGGTTACCTTTTCTCTGTTAGTATAACTGGGCATATACATTGATCCAGCCTGTGTTATCGATTACTTTGGAAAATTCCCATGGAGCCAAGTATTCAAAAGATCAGAATTTGCATCTTTTCACTGATGGGCATCACAGTCTGGTAGACACATCTGGTCATTTGTACTCTGCACAAATTGTCACGGAAAGCCTTCAGGGCTCACAGATTGAAATCGGAACACACCTACTGTTTGTGTGTAGGCCCTAAGGATGAAGAGGTACTTCTTTCGATTATTTTGTCCAAGTTACTGCTGCAAGCTGATTTACCATCTATTGTCTAAAGGCATTTGCAAAGTACAGAGAGTCAGTTCAAGGACAAGCCCCACTTTCCAGACCCACATTTCCTGGTTCTTCCTTAGAAGGCACTACATTTCCTTTTTGTAGCTCTAGTATTTGTAGTATTTGTAACTTCACATATCATTCTGTAATTATGCCTGTCAACAGCTGGGGGGAGTGAAACTGTCCTGGATTATTTATCATGGAACCAAAGGGCTGCTTTCTTCATCTGCTCTGTGTGGGCAATTACACTTCTACTCAGAGTTATGAGATAATATGAAATCGGTTTAGTGCATAGTATGGGCCCAGTAAAAGGCAAATGGACATAATTCCTTGCTCTATCACTGGTCGCATGATGTCCATGCACACCATTATGTTTTTTCTGATTTCTTTACCACAAAAAAAAAAAAAAAAAAAAAAAAATTCTACCTCATAGAATTGTTGATTAAAAATAAAGCAATGTGTGTGTGAAAATGAACGAAGGTAGGCTTTGGAACCAGGAAGATATGAACTAGAATCCTATTTCTTCCTTTACAGAGCTTGACACATTTACGTAGTTTTTGAGAGTCTTTGGTGCTTTTATCAAAGGGGGCTAAACAGCTACCTGTTGGAATAGTGGCAAGAATAAAATGAATTCAAGTACAGAAAGTGTTTCGTACAGGGCCAGCCACATAGGAGGACACTGAACAAATGTTAATTCTCTTCTTCTGAATTGTCAAGCCCAGTGAAACTCTTTGCACATAACTGGCACTTAATAAATGTTCATTGATTTGAATTGCTCTCTTAATCTTCCTCAAGAGTTTATTTTCTTGCCAGATATTTTCTTCTCCCCTCTCAATAACCACCCATCTGTTTGTATAGTAATTACAATAGAGACAAGTATTGTAGGAAATGTGTCATCAGACTTGGGTAGGAGCAAAGATTAAGTTCTAAATCTCTGTTCTTTCTTCAAATAGATCCAGTCTAACATATTGAAATTTTACATGTCCCTCATCATCTCTGTGATTATCAAATGCATTGCTTTCCATATATTTCCTAGTTGGAGGAGGATTATTATTTTGACAGTTTGGGGACAGGGCTGCTTAATAAGAGGCCCTTGAAAGATTTAATGCAGTGAAGATTTGCTCTAGAATTTAGAAGTGTAGCCATGCAACCAGATTCCATGTTGTCAAAAGCAGTTCCATAATTGCATTTTATTCATCTCTGCTAAAGATAGAGTTTGGCTGACTCATTCTCAAAGTGTGAACTTTGCCCACTTGCCCCTTCATTTTATGTTGTATGCTCCTGGCAAACCAGACGGAGGAGTAGATAAGGAAGATAGCAATGATATCAAGCATTGATTAGTTCCAATATTTCCAAGGTTGGTGTTAACATAAAATGGTTGGATTTTGGAAATAGGATTTCCAATACTATTTAAAAAGCTAATTTCGATTGCAAGACTAGATTATCCTTGTTGCACAAACATTTGTTTAAGAGTTGGGTCAAGCAAGCATTTTAAAAGATGTATTAAAAAGATATCACATGATCATTATTAAAGTAGAAACACAAAGCTTGTAAGAGTTATTAATAAAAGAAGCACCGGAGCGCCTGGGTGGCTCAGTTAGTTAAGCGTCTGCCTTCGGCTCAGGTCATGATCCCAGAGTCCTGGGATCGAGCCCCGCATCGGGCTCCCTGCTCCGCGGGAAGCCTGCTTCTCCCTCTCCCACTCCCCCTGCTTGTGTTCCCTCTCTTGCTGTGTCTCTCTCTGTCAAATAAATAAATAAAATCCCTAAAAAAGAAAAGAAAGCACTAAGGAAACCTCCCGGACTCACGACCCCACTTCTTCAAGACTGTTTGACAAACACGCCATAACTTGTTTCAGGAGCAACACACACAAGGTCTCTCCCCTTGGGCAAGTTACTTTAGTTCTTCGTACCTTAGTTTCTTCCTCTGTAAACTGGGGCTAAATATGATACCTGCCTAGCAGAGTTACCACAGAGTGTCTCACTGTCAATAAAGTTGGCTACTATTTCAATTACAATGATGATTATTATCAGTATAGTTAGAACCCCACTGTTCTGATCAGTGGAGGAAAGATCCAGCTGAAACCATAAAAGGTCTGAATGATAGACTTAAAAGTGAAAGAAGTTAAGTATTTAACAAAAGGCCTCCTAGTAGAACTCTGTGTAGAGATAGTAATCACATGTCCTGAACCAAAAATGAGAACATGGGCTTTGGTACGTGATCAGACAGTGGAACAGAATATTCACAGAACTGTCCTGGGAAATCTAGACATACAAAGCACATGTTTTCATAATAAGTCACGCAATGAGTTTATAATTAGAACACTGATTATTTGTATTTAAAGATTTTTTTCTCAAGTATTTTAGATATTTTATCAAAATATTATCAATTTGTATCATCTATTGTTCTTTCTAAATAATAGTGCATGTTAGTCCAGCTCCCTTCAGTTTTGAATAGGATGAACATTATTGGAGACTGAATTAATGAGTAGATCATTATCCAGTCATCCAGGATTAATGGACCTAATCCTGTGCTAGGTAAAATGGGATATCCAAAAGATCCACTTTTAACAGGGAAACAAAGCATACCTTATTTGCCCTATAGCATCACCCATAAAGTTTTAGTTAAGAATGGAGTAGGCCACAGGGCGCCTGGGTGGCTCAGTTGGTTAAGCGACTGCCTTCGGCTCAGGTCATGATCCTGGAGTCCTGGGATCGAGTCCCGCATCGGGCTCCCTGCTCGGCAGGAAGCCTGCTTCTCCTTCTGACCCTACCCCCTCTCATGCTCTCTCTCTCTCTCTCTCATTCTGTCTCTCAAATAAATAAATAAAATCTTTAAAAAAAAAAAAAAGAATGGAGTAGGCCTGGTTTTTATATATATATATATTTTATTTATTTATTTGACACAGAGAGAGAGAGAGAGAGAGATATCACAAGGTGGGGGGGGGGTGCAGGGCAGAGGGAGAGGGAGAAGCAGCCTCCTGGCTGAGCAGGGAGCCTGATGCAGGGCTTGATCCCAGGACCCTGGGATTATGACCTGAGCCAAAGGCAGACACTTAACCGACTGAGCCACCCAGGCGCCCCAGGACTGAGCCTGGTTAAAAAAGATAGGCTAAAATTAATTTTTTCCTTTTCTTCCAGTAAAAAGTAGGTTACTCTTAAAAAGACAAAGAAATGAACAGAAAACTAAGTAATATTAAAAGAGACCAGATCTAATAACAACTCACATCTATTGAGTGTTACACATTATGTTACCCAATATTTTGACCCTTACAAGACTCCTAAGAGGGAGTTCATATTATCATCTTTATTTTTACTTGAGGGAATCTGAGGTTTAAAGTGGTTAAGTACCCTGTGCCAGGTAAGATAGCAGGTTAATTGGTGGACTATTTGAATCCAGGCAGTCTGAATCCAGAGCCTTCATGTTTAACCATTAACCAGTATGTGCATAATATCTACAAATATACAAACATGTATTTATAAATCTACAAAGCTAAATGTTGGTGAAAATTCAGTGGAAAAGGCAGGATTTAAATATTGAGAGGAGCAAAAAGGGGCAAGGGAAGACTTTCTTTTTTATATCAGGTTGACAGACTGAAAGGGTTTGAGAAGATTGCTTGCATTTTCTACGTATACGGGTCTACCCACAATACTCATCTTTGATCTGTTTCTTTTCCATAATGTGAAATAATAATAGTCCTTATCAGATAGCTTTGTTGTAGGGGATTAAATGAATCAAAATATGCACGGCACTTAGAACTATGCACAATACCCAGAAAATACTGTTAGCTTTGATTATTGGGATTTTTCTTGAAAATCATATTACAGTTTATATTTTACAGTACTATCTAAGGTAGAAGGTCTCAGAATTGAGCATGCATCAGAGTTATCTTCAAGGGCTATAAAAACAGATCGCTGGGCTCCTACCCCCAGAACTCCTGATTTAGTAGGTCTGAAATGAGATCTGAGAATTTGCATTTCTCACGAGTTCTCAGCCAGTGCTGAAGATACTGGTCCTGAGGCCACTCTTTGAGACTCACTGGTCTAAAGTTGCTTACTGTATCTGATTGAAACACAGGCCTGATTTAGGGTGAAGCAGGTAGAGATTTGAAGTACCTCTGTTTTCTGGCAACTTTGCATGTATATGTATAAATATTATATATAATACATATAAATTTATAATATAATTATATATCACACATATAAATTGATAGAAACAATTTGGTTGTCTAGGCTGATAATAAAGGAAGGTCACTTTATGATAAAAAGAAATTATGTAGCTTTGGGGAATTGGGTCAATTTAGAGTCCAAGGTGGACTAATTCAAGCTATGTATCCTACAGAAGAGAAAACTTAGGCCCAGAGAGGTGAAATGATTAGCCTAAAGTTACCCACCTGGGAGAATGTCATTGCCAAGGTCAGACCTCAGTATTCTGACTCCCCACAAAGTGCTTTCCACTAGATGTACTGCTTATCGGTAGCATGTTTGAAGGACATAAATCATCACCCCAGGCAGCAGTGGAATCCATGCTGTGTGCCGGAGAGTAGTGCTGTATGCTCATAAATACTCCGGACTTGGTGAGAAAGTAGGGAAAGTCTTCCTCATTTCCTTGTTATATATATTCTCCATATTACCAGGGAGAATGTTCTACTGTATCTAGAGATCAGCATCAATAATCAGGTTGACACGTAGGCTTGCTTTCTCTACATGGCCCTCCAATTACTGTGTACAGAATAACCCTTTTTAGCATATGGGGGTGTTGATCAGCATGGATATGACTGTTCTTAGCTCTCCTGTTCCCTGTTATAACCCAATGACAACAGACACTGATACTGTAATGTTGTATCCTAGGTTGATCAAACAGCTAGCTTTGGATCCTACTCTGAAGTGAAAAGCCTTCCGGCTTTTCAGTCGATACCCTATTCTACACTATTCCAAACCACAAGGGGAGCAGCCCTGGGAAAAGAATTCTCTCAAGGGAAAGCATGAAATTAGGTGTGAGAATTCTCCCCAGATTCCATTCTCTTTTTTAGAGATGTTCCAGGTCTGAAGAAATAGAGAAAACTAAGGAGTAACCTAATTGTTTCTGCAGTCAACGCGAAGTATACTGTGGGGGAAAACTTGCTGTTTCTGGGTAGGAGTCTCCATTAGTGTTCCAATTATTTGGAGCCTATAAACATGGGCCCTGGATTTAGAGGGGGTATAAGTAGTAAAGAATCAACCTTTCCCAATGAGAGTTCTGACCTTTGCCCTTGGATATCAGGAGGTGATCTCTAGGGCCCTGGAGTGTCCTGCTTGATAGGTGTCTTTGCTTGGGGGCTTTGGTCACCAGACAGTCTAACAATGTAATTTATGCTGGGGGCCTTGAGCCACACCGTATCTGTTCCAACCTCTAGAGGAACTAGGGACTGAAGGCATTAGTGTGACCTCTGGGAATGGTCAGATATGAAAGGTCAGAACATGGGCAGTGTGTGATTGAGTCCCAGTAAAAGCTCTGGACATCGAAGTCTTAGGCGAGCTTCCCTAGTTGGCAATACTCCGTGTATATTGTTACACATCATGGCTGGGAAGGAGATAAAACCATCAATGACTCCATGGGGAGAGGATGACTGGAAGCTCCATCTGGATTCCTTTTGGATGCTGCCCTATGCATGCCTTTCCTTGGCTGGCTTTAATTTGTATCCTTTCGATGTTATAACACTAATTGTAAGCATAGCACTTTGCTGAATTCTGTGTTGCTCTAGCAAATTAGCCAGTGTGAAGGTGGTCAGGGCCCCCAAATTTGTAGACAGCAGGCCTGGAGTGAAGTTGATTCTGGGGACTTCTGAACTTAGGCTGGAGTAGAAATGAGGCCAGTTTTATGGGGACTGGTCCCTCAGATTTTGCAGTTTGCTAAATTCATTAGGGTGCTAGTGACAGGATAACAGAAAGTGAGATAAGAAGATTTGGGTATTATTCATAGTGGGGAACTCTATGAAATTGGTGAGTTTAGACATTTGTATTTTGGAAAAGATGCATTTAAGGGGCGCCTGCGTGGCTCAGCCGGTTAAGCGTCTGCCTTCGGCTCAGGTTATGATCCCAGGGTCCTAGAATTGAGTCCCAGATGGGGCTCCTTGCTCAGCAGGGAGCCTGCTTCTCCCTCTGCCTGCTGCTCCCCTCCTGCTTGTTCTCCCTCTCTCTCTCTCAGACAAATAAATAAATAAAATCTTTAAAAAAGAAAAAAAAGATGCATTTAAAGAAGTCTCTCCTAGATGGGAGGTTAAGAGACCAATCTCCTGGCAGGAAAATCCATTGCAGATCTGAGTGAGAGTCCGAATAGAGTGAATTTAGGCAAATTACTTCAAGCCTTAGATAAATGGAGCTAAATACAAGTTAAAAGTGATGATTTATGCAGAAATGTTTTAAAACTACCATATGTAAATGTGAAAGAACAAAATTTTTGTGGGAAAAATCTAAGTATAATGGTCACAAACTGAGTTATACTGAAGTTAAGACTTTTTTTTTTTTGAGTCATTTCCCTGAGTTTTTTGGGCACATTTCTATATTCAAAATTTTAACTTGATAGGCAATCCAAGTTATCTTTAATATATTTTCCTGTGTGTGTTCCCAAGCAAGGGACTTTTATTTAATTCATTTATTTATTTGAGATATAATCGACATATAACATTATATTTCAGGTATACAACATAATTATTCAATATTTGTATAAACTGCAAAAATGAGCACAAGTTAACATCCATAACCATACATAGTTATAATTTTTTTATGATGAGAACTTTTAGGATGTATTCTCTTAGCAACTTTCAAATGTAACAGTACAGTATTACTAACTACAGTCACCGTGCTGTATATTACATCCCCCAAACTTAATTATTTGCAAGGTACTTTGAGATCCAAAAAATTTAGGTGCTTAAGAAAAGTGGTTTACATATTTCAACTTCTCCCCAGATTTCTTACCATTTCCCCAAAGTGTCTGACTTGTATTTCCCCCATATCACGGGTTCAAATTTTTCAGAACATAACATCTTAAAATGGTGCCTCAGTGTGAGATGGATTTTCGGAAATCAAGGTTCTGGGGTGAGGTGTATGGTTTTGGAGTTTTACCAGAGGCGGAACGGTCGAGCTTCTGGGGCGCAACCTCCAGGGTAAGGCACGGGGGGCGCGTTAGGTTCGTGGCCGAGGTCCGGGTGGGCATATTTGGGGGTTCTCGGAGGGGCAGTGCCCTCCTCACGCTGGTGGCAGTCTGGGGGCGGCGCTCCTAAAAGGTGGGCGCGAGCGGATCGGCGCTGCTGGGCCTCGCTCGGAAGTGTCTTAGCAGCGCCCGGAACGGCCCGTTTCCCACCTGGATTAGGATGGTTCCGATGGGGTCGTAGTTTTCAGTCTCCCGTGCCATGGCCGGGGCCGGGGAGGGCTACCTCCCGGAGGAGGAGCGGTCTCCAGGCGCCGAGGCCAGGGGCGGAGAGCGCTCGTCCCCATGGCAACCCCACGCGCAGCCCGGCCTGTTCTACGTCGGGGGCGGAGAGGGGGTGTGGGAGGAGTCAGGGTAGCCGGCTCCTCCCGTCAACGCGCCCTTCCTTGCGCGTCTCCCCCGCGCGCCGGCGGCCGTGGTGCAGCCCGAGGCGGAAGCGGCGCTGGGACGGAACTGGCTCGCGGGCGCAGCTATGGCTGCGGGCGTCCCCTGTGCGCTTGTCACCAGCTGTTCTTCCACCTTCTCCGGAGACCGGCTGGTCCAGCGTGAGTAGCGGGGCTCCTGGGCCGACGTCCAAAACACCCGAGTCTGGGCGGGCGGTGGCCTCAGAACCGCGGTTTCCCTCTCGGCCTTTGTCGCCGCTACGGGCCCTGGGCTTGTCCTCTCTTGGGCGGGGGCCACAGCTCCTCGGGTGCCGCTCAGACCCGGTCCGGGTGTCCAGGCCCCGCAGCTGTCTTCCCCCTAGCTCTCACACTCATTGCTTGTCTGCCCTCCCGGCGCGCTGTTGCTTTTCTTGCAGCTTTTTCTGCAAAGTAGGACTCATCCCTGCCCCGCCCAGCTCATGGGTTGTTGCGGGCTCCTTGGGGATGAACCCAAAGGCGCTCTGGACATTGTACCGAGTTAGCCGGGTGTAAGGTGCAGAAAGCTGGTTGCGGTCCCTGCTCCTGAGGTGGAGACTCGGTTTCCTTTTGGCTCTCCCTTGATATACATGAGTTAGCCTTGTCCCCTCCACTCCAGTTCTCTGCCTTGCTTTCCTCCTGAGGCGTAGGCTCTCGGGCAACATTAGCTTTTGGGTGTTTCTGGGCCCAGTGTCTTGGCCTCTGGACCTTCATGGTGGCTGTCAAACTATAACTCTTAAAAGAAACCTTAGGCAAGACCAGTATAGTAGACAGAGCATGGGACTGGGTCCTAGGCTCAACTCTTTCGGTAAAGGATTCTGTGAAGTTGATTGGAACCCAAGACACCTGTTTTAAATGCATGGCATTGAGTCAGAGCAGTGACTCTCAGCTGTGTGATAGTAAGCACACTTAACCTCCACCCTTCAGTTTTCTTATCTGTGAGATGGTGATGATTTTCACAGGATTGTTGTGCTTAACCCAGAGGCTGGCATAGAGTCAGCATTCGATAAATGGTAGTCATTATTATTAAAGCATATTATCTCTCTAACCCCCAGTTTCCTGGTCCTAAAAATGGGGCATATGAGCCTATCTCAGGATTATTTGAGGGACAGGTGACATTTTGAAAACACTTTGTAAACTGTAAAGCATCGCACAGCTATATATATTTTTTCTGTACCTGTCAAATGACAGAATTAGGACATCCCTCCAACACAAATATTCTGTTAACTTAGTTATCATTTGTGAGCACTTAAAAAGTTCTTTGCCAGGGTAGAAATTTAATTATAGCACTTACTAAATAAAGTAACTGCTCTATGCCTTTTTCTTACCCCTTAGTAGTGCTCCTTCCCATTTATTCCCTTTCTTTTTTTTTTTTTTTTTAAAGATTTTATTTATTTATTTGAGAGAGAGAGTGAGAGAGAGAAAGAGCACAAGAGGGGGAGCGGGAGAGGGAGAAGCAGACTCCCTGCCGAGCAGGGAGCCCGATGCGGGACTCGATCCCGGGACTCCAGGATCATGACCTGAGCCGAAGGCAGTCGCTTAACCAACTGAGCCACCCAGGCGCCCTCCCTTTCTTTTCTTTTTAAAAGATTGTTTCATTGTAAAAGTAGTGCATTAAGTAATATTTAGCTTATCAAGAAAAGAGAATGTCAGCCATGGTCTCATCACCCAAACACAAATACTGTGAACATTTCTGTGCATTTCCTTCAGTCTTTTTCCCAGTACTTATGTTAAAAAAAAATTGTAATTGCATTTCACACCTAATTTTTAGCCTACGATTTTATATATAATTTTTGTTTTATTCATTGTTTTTATATTTTGTATATAAAAATTTAAAATATTTTTATTTTTAAATGTATAAATATATGCAAGTATGATTAACACATTTATAAAATGTATAAAATACTTTATATTTAAATTTTACATATACTGTTTTGTGTATATATATATATTTTTTGGGGGGGTGGGGAAGAGAGAGAGAATCATAAGCAGGCTCCATGCTCAGCACAGAGCCCTGGGTGTGGAGGGGTTTGATCTCACGACCCTTAGATCATGACCTGAGCTGAAATCAAGAGTCGGACGCTTAACTGACTGAACCAGCCAGGTGCCCTTATGTATAATTTTTATCCTGATATTTTTCATTTAACATTACATAATTTATGATGTAATATAAATTACTTTCCATCATATATTTCCTCTAGTGAACATAAAATTTGCTCAAGATTCTTAAAATCCTTGGTGTATTTAACTTTATAAAATAATTACATGCATTTGGATTTCCATTACTGATATATAAAAGTCCTTTCAAAGCCAATCTCAGAAATATTTGTTAAGTATTCTGATGGCTGTGGTACTCCCCTTGTGCGATTTAAGGATCAGAATTGTCAGACATGGTCACTTCCTTGAAGGAGCTGATGACCTATAGTTGGCAAATAGTAACACTGTATTTCTTTAAAGTACATTAGCATCCTTATGGTAAAATTAATTCTGTAAAATAATCCACTTTGTTTCTATATGTAAAATCCCTCTTAGATACATCAAAAGCCAACTTTTGTGTTTATTAAAATTAGGTGGCCTTTCCTTTGTGATTCCATTAATGCTGTGTAGGGAAAAAATAAGAGCAGTTAGTGAAGACATTACTTGTAAGGAGAAGTGAACTGTAACAGAGGGCTTTATCCTTTCTTCCCAGGTTATTGATAGGGAAAGGGTAGGTAGCACTAGACTGCAGTATTTGCTGAGCATTCGTTCTGTTTTATTATAATTAAAGATTGCATTAAATTAATCATGAATTGAGTCTAATTTTGATGTAAGAGATAAAGATGACCATAATGAATGATGTTTGTCAAGTGTTCTGTGATATTAGGCCACAGTATGATTTTGAATTGAATCTGATGTTTTTTGGGAAGGTTTGGTTTCATTTCATTCATCAGGAAGAGGAACTTTAAGGTTTCTCCAGTTTCTTTCAGCATCTGATCTGTTTTACTGCTTTTACCCAGTAGGAAATATTTCATAATCAAATAACCAAGTTTGTTATAAATACACATGAACTAAAAATCAACAGGCCTCTGCTATGGATAAAGTGCATGCATGGATTTTGTGAAAAACTTTTTCATTTTGTCACTCAAAGGCCTTATTTTCAGTATTCTGGGTGGGTGTCTGACATCAGATAAAAGGGCATTACAGACTTACATTGTAGACTTTCTTTTTTTTTTTATTAGCATATAATGTATTATTTGTTTCAGGGGTACAGGTCTGGGATTCATCAGTCTTACACAATTACACTGTAGACTTTTAAAGGGAAATGAAGGCTCAGGATGCTGGAGGGCCTCAGGAAAGGCTGCATGTGGTATGAGAGCAAGTGACTGTATTCCAGGGCCAGACCTCTTTCCACCTCATATATATTCATATGAAGATTTCACTTTTGTTCTGGAAAAGAGTATTCTGATATTAAGCACAGAGCTGGTCTCTGTGCCAGTTAGTGTAGCTAAAATGACAAGGTACTCTTCCTGCCCTTAAGAGGGACGTAGTAAAAGTATGTGCGCCACTAGTGAAAGTATTAAAATGTAAATACCTAAGTTGTAACATTTTACTCTACTTTCATAGAAGGAACTTTATTTTTCTACTTAATTTTAACTCCAGTATAGTTAACATACCATATTTATGTTAATTTCAGGTATACAGTATAGTGATTTAATAATTCTGTACATTACTCAGTACTCATGAAGATAAGTGTACTCTTGGGGCACCTGGGTGGCTCAGTCGGTTAAGCATCTGACTCTTGATTTTGGCTCAGGTCATGGTTTCAGGGTCTTGAGACTGAGCCTCTTCCTCGGGCTCAGCCCAGAGTCTGCTTGAGGATTCTCTCTCCCTCGCCCTCCACCCCTCCCCCTTCTCGTGCTGGAACACTCTCTCAAATAAAATCTTTAAAAAAAAAAAAAAAAGATAAGTGTACTCTTAATCCCCTTCACCTATGTGACCCATCCCCTCACACACTTCACTCTGGTAACCATCTGTTTGTTTTCTATAAGTTAAGAGTCTATTTTTTGGTTTATCTTTTTTTCTTTATTGTTTTGTTTCTTAAATACTGTGTATGAATGAAATCATATAGTATTTGTCTTTCTTTGACTTATTTCACTTAGCATTAGACCCTCTAGATCCATCCATATTATCACAAATGGCAAGATTGCATTCATTTTTATGGATGAATAATATTCCATTGTATATAAATTCACCGCATCTTCTTTACCCACTCATCTATCAGTGGACACTTGGGCAGCTTCCATAGTTTGGCTGTTGTTGTTAATGCTGCGATAAACATAGGGATGCGTGTATCTTTTTGAATTAGCATTTTTGTTTTCTTCCGTTAAATATCCAGTAGTGGAATTACTGGATCTTACGGTAATTTTTAATTTTTTGAGGACTCAAGACTTTTTTCTACTCCTAGAAGGAGCTGTAGATAGAAAAGTCCCTGGAGACTTGCTTGATGATGTTGAAGCGTGTAATGCCAACTCAGCAACTGTAAGCCATTCAGGTTCTACATCTGAACATTTGGAGCAAAATTATTTCTTTCAGTGAAATGTGGGAATTTGGAGATCTTACAATCATAGCAAACATTTGTATGTGTATCAGTACTCTTCTCAAACGTGTTCTCACGTCTTTTAATTTGGTTCTTGTATCCCTGTGAAGTCATGAAGTCAGGTTATCTCCATTTTATAAATGAAGAAATTGTGGCTTGGAAATACCAGGTGACTTGCCCAAAGTGCTCAAGTACTAAGTGTTGGAGCATATGTTAACATCCAGGATTGGTATGCATGGAATACATGAATGAAATGTGTTGGAATTCCTTAGCAATCAGAACTATTTAAATTTAAGATGGTGGCATTGGTGTAAGAAATGATAAGGAAGATTAACCCCTAAAAGAGGGTTTTAAAATAGGGTGTTTTAAATAGAGGGTTTTGCATTTCCATTTAGGAGGATTGGAGTCTTAATTCTGAGTGAAGAAAAAAAATATCTTTGTCCAGAGGACCTATATTTTAAAAAGAGCATTATGTATGCCCAATAGTTTTGAACAGTGTCTGGATTTTTATTTTCTCAATTGAGTGTACTCAAAGTAGAGGCATATTATATATTGGTCACTCCTATGCAGG